AGCATGGTATCAAGTGAATGATGAATTAGATGCTGCTTTTGCATGGAAAAATGTGTACAGTCTGAAAGATATACTTGGAAGATATTGCATTTTAGTAGAAGATGAAGATGGTGAATGTCCTCTGATAATACTGAAGCGAATGAAGCAAAAACTTGAGACTTACTTCAAGGCAGCCATTCCGTTTTAGCACCAAAAAAATGTGGACCTTCCATTCCTTGTCTTCTGAACTGTGACAACTGATAAAGCCATACAAGCAGTTGTAACTTTGCATATAAATGTTGAGGAGGCTGTTGGCCTGCAGGTCAGAGAAGAGTTTTTTTGGATGCACAAAATGTGTACTGTGCTGCTCTCAAGATCAAAGCAGATTTGAAAGCTATAGCAAGATACAGGAACTTGAGCAAAAAGGAATCCCAAAAATGTGTTTCTGATAGCCTTTACACATTGTCATCTTCCAAAATCAGTAGGATCAATGACCACTTAAATGTTGAAAGTCATGTGCAAAATAAGAATCTAGACATATATGTACTGAATATTATATGTCAGGATTTTGGTTTACCTGCAATCAAGGGGCAAAAAGCTGATCCCAAAACATGTTGGGTTAGGCTGGCAATACATCATGCAACTAGATCTAAGAAGCTGGCACAAAGTCTCTACACTGCTAGATGCAGCATACAGTTTGACACAGTTCATCACGTTGAGACCAACCATTGCTGAGAAAAACTTAAAGGAATTTCAGGAAAACGGAGTTACTATCCCAAGGAATCTTGTTCCTGGTTGTTTTGTTCAATTTTCTTTGGACAACATCAACATCTTGGAGGAGACATTGGATGGAAAACAGAAATTTCATGCAATGCAAATTGTAGCATTTCAAAGAGGGCCATTGAAACCAGTTGAGATTTGAAGAAAGCACAGACACAATAGGAAGGAAAAGAACTTTGAAAAATGTATCACTTGAATTTTAGCAGTCAGTCTGGTGATAATGATCCATAACAAATCCTTGAAACCACCTATCCATGATACAGATGAAAAGTTTGATAACACGACTCTTCAACAGATGTCAGTAGAACTACCATGGATAGTGGGTAAAATATAAGTTGATAACCAGGAGAACACTGCCGTACCAGGGTAGACAGCATTTTAACCAGTTTCTGACAGTACTTCACAAACATAGATTGTTGGGTTTTTGTCCCATACTGCCTGCACCAGCATCTGCGTACAACACCGTTTGAACTGTCGTCACGTGTCTGAGACAGCAGCACAAAGTCATAATCTTTGATCAGGCATTGTATTGTATTGCAAGCAAATGAAGTTGTGTGGGCTTAATCGGAGGAGACTGAAGGAGTAATCATTCAACTGGGAGACTTCCATATCATCATGCTTTACCTAACAGCAGTTGGTCAGCATTTTGTCACTTCAGGACGTGAAGATTCTTGGACAGGAAGGAGACTATTTTTCAGAAAACACCGCCACCAACATAATGACAGAAAAACTATGCTATCAGAGCATAAAAGATAAACAGCAATCATCCTCAACTGCGAGGGATGGCCGATGAGTCATCAAATGAGGTGGTGTCTAGTGGAATTCTGCAGGGATCTAACATTAGGCCTGAAGCGATTTTGCATTTTTCATCAGGGATATAAAAGTAAATGTAAAATCCCTACTAATGGAAGTTGCAGTCAATACAAATGTGGGAACAGTAAGGTCAGGCAATGGTAATGATGAGGATTGGCAGTCATACAAAGAAAACTAGATCACTCTAAGTGGGTTCTAGTCGAATAAAATATGTTTTAATATAACAAAAGGCAAAGCCATTGGGATAAAACAATGCAGGCCATACCTATAGACTAGAAGGCTAAATAAAAAAGGGATGTCTGTGAGAGACTTTGAATTCAGCCTGCTTGGTTAATCAAAAAAAGGGGTGAAAGTGACTTGATTAAAGTGCGTGATTTTGTCCAAACTACCACATACTAAACACCTGTTTTAATTTAAGATCCAGTAGCCAGAAACTAAAATCAGCAAAATAAAATTAGTTTAATATATTTTTACTTTTAAGCATGAACGCTACGTGTCCCTGGAAGCTGGAAGGGCATGGCGATATCTGCCAGGCGGCACTGTTGGCGGCAGGGGCGTGGTGATGGCAAGCAGTGAGCTCCCGCGGGTGGCTGCGGTGCTGTCAGGGTGGGGGGTGCCAACCAGTGATTGGCAACCACCCATAGATGCAACCAGCGTCAATCGGGGATCGCCTGCAGACAGTGCCAGCAGTGTTGGCGGCAAGGGAGTGGGGGTTGGCGAGTGGCGATTGCCCACAGGCACTGCCCCCAGTGTCAGCGACACTTCTTGCAGGGGGTGCACCACCAATATCCAGTGCTGTACATGCACCTACATGCACCCCGTACACATTGCCCATGCTTTTAAGGATGGTTAACCATTGGCTCAGACAGGGTTGGGAGGTGCTTTTGCTAGTTTATGGACTTACTCATATCCAGAGTGGATATCTTTCTGGAACGTTGGTTTTTAGCGCAGTGGTTCTCAAACTTCCTGAAGTCACAAAGCCCTTTCATATCACTTCTGCAGCAGAACCTATCCCCCTGTCCCAGGGGGCTGTGTGACTTGGAGCCAGGTGACCAGACCTAGCCCTTGTGGCACAGTGTGACCTGGCTCACTCTGCCTTTACCCCTACTGTCTTCGTGGCAGCTCTGAGGACCTATTGCACAATACAAGGGTTCTGTGGAGCACAGTTGGGAAACCACTGCTTTAATGAAACCCAAGTCTTCGCGCTCAGTACAGGAGAAACTGAAATGAAATGTTAAGTGTCTGTGACATGAAAGAAATCCAAGTAGGTGTTTGATGATCTCTTGTGTCTCTAAACTCTATGCACGCAGCTTTAGTGAAGGTATAGTTTAACTATAAACCTGCTTGTTCCCCTGTGTGCCTTCTTTACAGGATTTAATATAAATGGTTTAAATTTCTGGTTGTTTAGGATTTTTTTTCTACTTTTTTTTTTTATCAGAGAACTGAAGTAGAGTAAAATGGAGGGCTCTGAGGTGCTAGCATATGATCTTTTACTGAGATCCAAAAGTCTTGCAAACTACGGATGTTCCTACCCATGCCAAGCTAAAAGCAAAAAACAAAAGATTTGGAATCAGCCAAATTATATTTTCAGAGAAGCTAAATTATAGGGATGCAATTTTGCCCCTGCATTATGTAGCTCTGAAATTAGGGGTTACATTGTAAACTGTTTGCATAACTTTGTCAGCATCGTTCTCTTTAATTTTCCTTTGCTACGGCGTGTACGACTTGGAACATCTAAAGCTGGACCCAGTGCTAGAAAAATAAACTGGAACAACTCTGAACTCGGATTATGACGAACCCTAGTAACAGACTAGAATAGAGTGTAAATTTTATGATCCTGTAAAAAGTAAATATTTGATGTGCTATCCAAGTACATGTGTAAAAATGGGTTGTTCAACCTAAATTTGAACTTTACTCTATTTGATTTGGTTTTATCTTTATATAGAAAGTTCTAGTTTGCGGGGTAGCTTGGTGGGTGTGTGTGCACAGTCGCATCTAATTAACTGTTAAGTCAACGGTGCCTACAATCCAGGAAGGGAGTTAGTTGGATAAAATAGGGTTGTAGGGGTTTTTTGGGGGGGGGCAGGGGGAGGGTTGTTTGTTTGTTTTTGTCCCCCTTTTTCCCCTTCCCCCTTCTGGGGAAAAAAGGGAACCTATAATAGTAGAACAAGGTAGTACTCTGCCGTTCTGTATCCGAGTGAAGATTGCCAGTTGTCCACTTAATCATCAAACAGATCATTTTAAACTGTACAAACGCATTAGCTGTTTTTGTAGTTCTGGGGAATGGGAGTTTCTAGAGTGGTGTTTCGCAAGCTGTGGTTTGCAGTGTTATAGCTGTCGAAAGGCACCTGTTCTTGTTTTCAGCTGCGGGTATTCCTCTCAGCTATGACAAAACATATAAAGTAGCTGCATTTTCAGTCAGAAAGACTGAAAGACCCGGTTTGCTGTATTTTCCCACATACCGCCCACACACCTCTCCCCCTCCCCCCAAATAAAAGAAGAGTTGCTGGAAATTTGAGTGTGTATCATATGCAAGGAAGTATGGTAAGAACAGTTTTGGCTGTTTGGGCTTTGGCCGGGCAAAAATTGAAGTAAAGCATGCACCAGTACATGGGGAGAAACAGTGAGTGGGCTTGGGTACCTCACTGCTGCTACTCAGTTAATTACTACAAGATCATTTTTTCCTTCACGTTCTTCCTTTCAAAAACAAGGCATATCTTTTATTCCAGGGCATGTTGTATACAATAAAATACAGTGCATCCATTGTCCTCAACTTTCTCTGGTGTTTTGGAAAAGGAATTTGCTGGGTCTATACATTACTGTAGTTCTACCTTACACACATTTCTCCTTTTTGCTGACTTCTAGGGTCAGATAGTGCCCTTTTCTAGCCCTAGTATGGTCTAAGGTGGTAGCTGGCTGTGAAATATTTCCTCTTAATACTCAGAAATGTTAGGAACGTGAATATTGTATACAGTGCAGCTGCTTCTTAACAATTCATGCCTCCATCTTGGCAATATGGTTAAGATGCTTCACAAGGACTTTAGACAGAATTCAAGTTTGTCATGAGATTGGGCAAGTTATTAGCTCTGCTTTAATTATGTACTCTTTGAAGAAGGAGTAAAACAGGGTTGTTGAGAATAAACTGAGTGCTTTGATACTGCAGAGTTAGAGGCCATAAAAGTGTGTGCATTTATAATTCGTTTGAGGTTTTAATACAGGATATTATTAACATTCAGCTTTAGTATAGGAACGTATCTCCTCTGGAGATTTATTTACTATACAGGAGTCAAGTATGCCCATTTTTGTTCTACATCCGTAAATCAAGAACAAGAAAAATAAATGGAATATCTGAGGCGGTTAGGAAAATGCATGATATGTATGTTCTTGTTTTTTCAATCATATCTACCAGTAATCTGTTTCTTTTGCAGAACCCTGTGATAACATGAGGGAGATACTCCAGAATGTGGCCAAATTGCAAGGTGTTTCAAATATGAGAAAACTAGGCCACTTGAATAATTTTACTAAGGTAAGAACTTAACTGATACAGCTTGTATAATAATCATACATTGTAATGATTGATTTATTTGCTAGGAACTTCACAAAATAGATCCTGCCTTCAGGGAGCTTACCGTTAGAATTTAGTTATGACATGACAGAGCAGGTAAGGTATAAGCACGTGGTTAGGTTAATGTAGACTAATGCACATTTTGGTAGTGGTTGGATTTTAATTTATTTGTAACATAATAGGGCCTGGGAGGCCTAGTCATGAACCAGTTATTGTGTTAGGTACTGTATAAGCACAAAACATGGTGGTTCCTTCACCAAGTAGCTTACAGTCTAAATCAAGATATGACAAGACAAGGCAGGGTGTGTCCAGATAAGTGCATACATGCAGTTTGTGGCTCTTCAAGGCTGTTTGAGATACTGCACATGGTGCACATGCAACTGTTTGCCACGCTGCTAATTTGTCACATGGTGCCAAAATTTGACAACAGGAGATCCCAGTGTGGGGGGGGAAAAAAAAAACACTGCCAAAAAAAAAACCCAAGCAGCATGGTGCACTCTCCAGGAGTGTGCCAGCAGCCCCAGAGGCTCGGTCCTCTAGGCAGACATTCTAGCTGCTGGCCAGAGCATTTCCCCTCCTCTAGTTGTGCCTCAGCTCCTCCAGCACGTTGGGACGAGCAGAGAAATGCCGTTTCGCCAAAGTGGGGCATTTTGCCCAAGTGCCAGGGCATGTGTAGTGGCAAAAAGCTGTGGCAAATGCATGACCCTGCATGTGTGTGCTCATCTGGCCATGCCTATAGAGTGCAAAGATAGTGAGCCAGTATTGGTCAGCTTCACGGAGTCATCTGGGCATGCCAGCAGCTCAAATGTTTTGTAGGCTGCACAGAAAAAGACATTTACATGCAGTAAGGGTGAGTATAGTACTTAAGAATGAGCTATTAAATGCACAGTGAAAGAGAACAATGAAGCAGCATTCTGGAAGTTGCAGGGAAGTTTCCCCCAAACAGGTATTAAATTTTAAAATGTGTGCAATAGAAGGCAAGCATTAGTTCTGAATATTAAATGAGTGATGGACTTTGATATTAGGAGATCAGTATCAGGAGAATGTACCCTGACTTAAGGAAGGCTTTTGACACTATAGCCTATAACAGTGGTTTTCAACCTTTTTGCATTTGAGGACTCCAAAATAAATAAATAAATAAATAAATAAAAAGTTGAATGGAGGTACAGACCCTTTGAATTGTAACCGTGTATATTTACATACTTTTGATCACAGTTATTTCTGTGGACCCTTTAGACAGTCTGGGATCCCTCAGGGGTCCACAGCTCACAGGCTGAAAATTACTGGCCAATAATATTCTTTTAAGTAAGATAAGAAAATAGTCTGGCTGAGACTACTATAAGGTGGGAGTATGGATGATTTGGGTAATTGTGCTTAAAGAGTAGGCATCAATGTCTTAACGTCACATTGGAAGAGGTGTATATCAAGTGAGTGAGGTTCCCTGTGGGTGTTTTCTGCATTTAGAACTGCTCAGTATTTTAATTTAATGCAGGGGCTGCCAGCTTTTTCCAGCTGCAGGCCGGATTGACTGAATTCAGTTCAGAGGCAGGGTGGTACATGGCCACCACTGTTATTTCTTGCAGTTACAAAAGGAAAGTCTCTTGTACCTCCTTTTCTCCCTGCAGTGTCACCGGGAGAGTGTCTGTAGCCAGTATGTAGGCCCCCACCATTATGAAGGAAAAGTACCTGGGCTGCTGCAGGGAAAAGCAGTGGCACTGGACACTTTTCTTGTGGTGCTGCTGGGAAAAGTGACAGCAGCTGGGTCCCAGCACCTGCCTTCCCACCTGAAGGGTCAATCCAGCTGCTGAAGCCCCACATCCACAGGCTGAATCGAATGGCTCTGCTAGCTGTAGACTGTCGATCCCTCATTTGACGGGGATGAAATTGAGTATGCATTTTCACTTGGGGCAACAGGATAGGTTTAGGATTCAAAATGACCTTAATACATTGAGAAAAAAGTCTGAAATAAATTGGATGAAATTCAATAAGGACAAGTGGGATGATATAGTTGGGGATGCTCTTGCGTGGAGCAAGGGGTTGGATTAGATGATCTTCTGAGGTCCCGTCCAACCCAAATTTTCTATAACTTTTTAAATGCGGAGTATAGCAAGCAAATGCACAGGTGTAAAGTTGGAAATGACTGGCTAGATTGCAGTAATGTAGAACAGGCACTAAGCTGCATCTGAATCCACAGTGTAGCATTGTTGCAAAAACAGTTTATAGCACACTGGAATACATTTAATAGAGGTCTTGCAAGTCATGGGATGAAATTCTTCCATTCTAGACAGCACTGCTGAGGTCTGACTTGGAATGCTTTGTCCGGTTTTGGGCGTTATACTTTAAGAAAGATGTTCACAAATTGGAAAGAGGCTAAAAGAGTGCAACAAAAATGATTTGAAAGAGAATGACGTAAGGAAAAAGGTTAGAAGAACCGAGGTTATTTAGTCTGGAAAAAGGGGAATTGAGGGGAAATTTGGTATGTCTTCATATACAGAGGGGTTGTTATGAGGAGGATGGTGATTAACTATTGCTGTGCCTCCAGGAGACAGAACCAGGAAGTAACAGGTTTTAAATGCAACAAGGGAGGTTTAAATTCAATGTTAGGTAGATCTCTTAAATTAAGTATTGAAACAGAATACTTATAGAGGATGTGGAATCTGCATCACTGGAAGTTTTTAAGTTCAGGTTAAACAAACATTTGGCTGGGATGGTTTTGACAGCAATATTCCAGCTTTGAGCAGGAGCTTGGACTAGTGCCCTCCTGAGGTCTCTTCCAGCTGTATTTTTCTGTACTTTGATTACACGCAGGTACTGGGATAGGCTGTGAAGAGAAGCAGCTCATCTAATGTGATTGGGGGGGGCAGCAGAGGGAAGCAGAAAAGTAGGGAAAGGATCTTGACAGTAGTATTTTTACTGGGTATCAGTGGGGCAAGAAGGCTAGAGAAGAGAACTGCTGTAACCTAGGTATGATGTGGTAAGAGCTGGGCCAAGAGCTTTAGATGTGTTAATGCATTGGAAAGGGTATATCTAGAAAAGATATGCAGAAAAAGTTGGCCAGGGCTGTTAAGACGTCAAAAAAAGTTAGGACTCCGAAAAAGAGGAAATTGATAGCTTCACTTGAGCTGTGTACTGAGCTTGAGCTAAAGGCAAAATTTCCATGCTGAGATGTGAAACAAGGTGAGAATCTGATCACAAAAAAACTGTTTTGGAGTAGCTAATTTTGATAGCAATAATTCATTTTGAACTGTATCGGAGAGGTGGTGTACAGGAAGAAAAGAAAAGGGACCACACTTTCAGAGCCTGGTGTGATACTTACAGAAAGGTGAAGGGGAAATGAAGATGTAAAGGATACAGTGGGTCCATCTACATGAGGTGCTGACTGCTCAGTAGCTGAAAAATACTGTGCAGTAGTGCAACGCAGCACAGACAGTGATAATATGCTACTGTGCAGTAGCATCCCCTAAAAGACATTTGCTGGTGCTACTGCATAGTAAAGACTGCAGTAGCATCTTGTGTAGATGCACCCACTGAGTTAGTAATTAGGGAGGAAGCAAGAGACATACCAGTGGTGCTGGTGTTGAAAGTGGCTGGCAGCTCAAAGAGGGATAATTCTAATATTATAAAAGCCTAAATGTGTCTGCCTGCCTCGCTTTATTTGAGCTCTAATTGGCTGACAAACGGAGTGCGAACAAGCATTCAAACAGGAGCTGGTGGTGGTGGAGTGCCACCATGATGGTGGGGACACGGGACAGAGTGGGGGGTGAGGCTGTACTAGCCTTGCCCCACCCCCCCGTCTTGCTTCCTGGAGGTGGGGGCAATGTAGCGGATGGAAGAGGGGGACAAGGCCAGGGCCCCCCCTGTCCTGCTCCCTACAGGTAGCAATGATGGAGGGAGAGGGGGACAAGGCCATGGGAGCTGGCCTCATGCCCCCCCCCCTTACTCCTTACAGGTGACAGCGGTGGCATGGGGTCGATACGCCAGGAGAAGGCGGGGGGGCAGGCCACCAGCTCTGGGCTCGGCCTGCCCCTCCCCCCTTCCGTTGTTGTCATCTGGGGGGCAGGAGTGGGCCTGACGGGGGTTGGGGAATAGTAGTCATGCTGCCATGGCAGCAGTAAGGGGGGGCGGGGAAGGAGTGTGTCTGGGCCCAGGAGGAGGATCAATCCCAAGCTGGGGGGAGAAGCCGGGCCACCGTGGCGGTGGGGGGAAGCAGGGGGCCCAGCCCTATGGCAGGGGGAAGGGAGGAGCAAGTCTCCTCCCCCTCTCGGGCTCTGGCCCACTCCTTCCCCCTGTCAGCTCTGAACCCTCTCCTCCCATCCCTCACCAGGTCAGCCCCAAGCCTGCTACTCCCCCCACTGCAGCAGTTCAGCTTCTCCCCACCCTCAGGCCATATTCTCCCCTAGCCTTGTTGATCACTTCATCACGTTGACGATTTATGTTCATCTTGGAGTCAACTATGACTCTAAGATCCCTTTCTGTTGCTGTGCGGCTGAGAAGGTCATCCCCCAGCCTGTAAGTGTGTTGATAGGTCTTTTTGCCCAGGTGCAGCACTTGTCTTTGAACTGCATCCTATTTCATTCTGCCCATTTTTCCAACCTGTCCAGATCTGCCTGGATCCGTTCCCTACCCTCTGGTGTGTTAACTTTGCCCCATAATTTGGTATCATCTGCAAACTTGGACAGGGTGCTCTCTACGCCCTCATCCAGTTCACTGATTAAGACATTGAACAGCACTGGTCTACGAACCAAGCCTTGCAGGACTCCACTGCCCACATCTTGCCAAGTTGATATTGACCCATCCACCACCACTCTTGACCCCTAAGCCAATTTGCCACCTACCTGACCATGTAATCATCTACATCACAGCCTGTTAGTTTATTTACGAGAATGGAATGAGATACCATATCGAAGGCCTTAAAGTCTAGGTAGATGACATCTACCTCAGCTCCTGTGTCTAAGCATTTT